TGCATAGACGTAGTCTCTCGCGTATCCCCTCTCCTCGCAGCGTTATGTTTCTCCTTCATATCACGGAACGGAAGACCTCACAAGGGAAATTTCAGTGTTTTTTACGGTTCTTTTTGCTTTCCCCTCACTAAGGTTCCTTTCCCATGTTTTATCTAAATTACGAACGGAACAGTCCAAATTCAATCGCTACTCGTGTCTACAAGGCCGGTGGTAAAATAAGCGCTAGAATCCGTTTTGAGTGTCCATAATAGGGATGGCTATTGGGGCTGAACATACAGCGCGGAATCTGTATAGGGAGTCGCATATCTTCAGAAAGCAGTTTGTGCAAGGGATTCTCCCAGAATTTCAAAGCTTTCCTTTCAAGGTTGAACGCCTCAATTTTGAATGAATTTTTTTGATACTTCCCGTTTGGCGTTTTTTCTTTCGAATCGATTGAATTGTAGAACGGTCAGCTTGGAAGGAGGATGTAGAATGGGGTGGGTTGGTGCTAGTGAATTTGTTTCCTATGCTCCCTGAATGGTGTTTGTCACATTACCAGCCCTTTCGCCAATTCTTCCGAACCTAGAAACCTTTATAGGAAATGAACAAAGCTGTACATATTTCATCGGATGTTCAGTCCACCGGACCATCCGCCCTAAACGGCGCTTTAAAGGTAGAAACAAACATCTTTCGTTCGCGAGTTTTTCGTAAGTAAAAGAGAAAAACAATTTTTATTTCAGTTCGAAGCAAAAACCAAAGGGCACTTGCTTGAGTGTGGGGCGAGTGTGAGAGAGGTGCAGAGAGCTTACCTTCAAATCATCAGGTCCCTTGAACTGTGAGACATCCATGGTAACGACAAGTGAGTCATCAGTGGCATGAAGAGAGGAGATGTGTCCTCCAAGTGGTGACGGGAACGACGGAAATGAAGTCTAAAAAACGATGAGCATTTCAAATTTGGAACTTGCCAACAGCTCCCAATTAGATGACTCAGCATTATAATGAGAAGTTAATTTTGGGGGCTTTGAACGCATTCCAAGGTGTTTTCGATCCCTTTGGACGCCCACATGTTTCCTGCGATATGTTTGTTGTGTGCTCGCCCACTCTAAGAGAAACGTGGAGAAACAGCTGTTGAGGCATCTGAGTCATAAGAACGCCCTGGCTTGGATGCACGGAAGAAGTTGGCCTTGAAGTCACAACCCCATCAAAAACACCGCTAGTGTAATTCGTCTCTATTCAGAGCACATGCGATGCGCAAGCTTCACGCATAAAAACGATATTGACTGGGTATAATTGCGTAAACGCTGATGAAATTGGTTCACATCTGGCTATCTCCAGCGATTCGTCAACCGTAAAATGCACTGCATTGATCGCAGGTTCGATTTCTTTGACACGTCAGTAACCTTTATTTGGCACTTTTCGAAAAGAAAATATGGGTTTTTTTCCGGAAAACATCCCATATCGCTCAACAACCGCGCCATTTTGTGGCAAGCTGCTTGATCAGTGAATGAGGGATAAAAAAAGAGCGCTAAAGCAAGATACGGGGGCACTGTGGTGGTAATGCATTTGAAATCATGTAAAACATATTTTTGTTGAAAAACGGGACCAAGCCCTAGTCGGGGAGGAGAGATTTCAGGGGGCGTCATTCTTCATTCTACTTGGACAGGATTCCAGGGGAGACTGGAAGTGACGCACCCTGGAGTAGTCCTAAAAGCTGGGCTTATGGTTAGTCCTAGAGAATGCTCCCGTATGTTGCGATAGCGCCATACAACAGTTCAAAATATTCTTGCGGTGCGGTT